AAGCCAAAAGAAGTTATTTTTATCATCGTGAATGTGTTTTGCGCAGATGCGATCGAACGCGTGGAAGTGCAGTATCTGCGCGGTTTCATGTTAACTACTATACATGCAATCATGTGACAGCATAGGAAACAGAATAGGAATTTCTGGATACAGGGCATTTAAATGTAAAATTGATGTTTTATTACGTTACAGGTATGAAGTTTTTTTTTTGAGCGAAGAGAGTTAATTTTAATTACTCTCGTTAAGTATTGATTAAAAGCAGTTACTTCGATTTTTTTTCTTCCTTTTCGTAAGAAACCCGATGTGATTATCTTTACTTATTAATACTAACTAAAAATGAGTTTGTCAATTAATAATGGCGAAAAGGCGAATTTTTAGCCTAGGAAAAGAATTAGAAGAATTCAGTTCATCAGTAGAATTCTCATATTCACAGGTATCAATGTTTTCAAGACTTTGCCTTTGTTACAGGAAGCCACTCTTAATATTAAGCACTGTAGTGTTCGTGTTACATACATAAACACTGTGACAGTTATTTGATGACTTATGCATAGCAGGCTATAAGTGTTATTAGATAAGTTGATAATAAAATATCAGTATATTTACAGTATGTAAATGTAAAATGTATCAGTATATTTACTAGTTTGGGTCAAACTGAGCTGCTGTATTTCATCCACTTTGAACCTGCTGTCTTTTGCATCGTGTTTTTCTGCTTAATTTCTAAATGCGTATTGGCAGATAAACAGTACGTGAAGATAATGAACCACTACTAAACGACAAATATCGAATTATCGGATGAAAGAATGGGGTGAACGTACGCGTATGTATGCAGAATATAGAAACTCTACTTGAAGTATAAGATCTACAGTAAACAAATTCAATATATTTTTATCGTCAGACCTGTACTGTACTAACCGAAAAGTAGATGATTGTTGCTTTTTGTTTTTATTGTTGTTGTTAATATTTAATTTTATCTTTTTAATAGCGGGTAGTTTTTCTTTAAAAAATATTAAAAAATTCCTCAGTTCTGCATTTGCAAAATCTTCAGCTTTTGATGACTGGATTCGGATATTTTAATTTACTTAAAATTAAAAAAATAAAATGTAATAAAATGTGCTACTAAATTAATTAAAAATGAAGTTAAACTTCATTAAATTTAATTAAAATTTGAGAACATTACGAGATTAGCATAAGTTATAAAAATTACACTAAATATTAAAAACTAAAATTAAGAACCATATCATAAAAAATTATTTGCGAATCGAAGGAAACAAGTGCAAATTGAAGCAAGGCCGGCACTTGTGGATTTCTATCAGTATATACACACACACACACATATATATATATATATATATATATATATTAGCTATCGTCGGCCCTAGTTAACTGGGACCGTCGATTGCTAATATGTATATATGTTACGGTGAAACACCGAAATCTGGAGAATGTCGACTTTCACCGGTAAATGTCAACATTCACATAGTCGCTTGGTGTATGTCCGAAATATTTTCCAAATACTCTTATTTCTGACTTACACCGGTAAATGTCGACATTCACCATGTACTAATGGTGAATGTTGAACATATAAGAATATTATATTTTCTTCTCCGTAATTCAGTCGCGAAAAAACGCACTTGAGACTTAAAATAAGAACTTAAAACACACAATACATTCAAAATGAGAAAGGAAAATAACAGAAGTTAAAAACTTATTAAATTACGTGATTCAAATCTTATTTATTGCAACAACTTAAATTATTATGACACTTTGAATTGCACAAGAGGCCCTTGCTTTTACAACTGTATTTATTTGTGAAACACTTCCTTTTGCAATGACAGCGTGTACATATACTCCTCTCTTTTCGACCTACGCCAGAGCATATCTGTGATTGTGGACATGCACTGGTAAGAGTCCCAATGTACAAGAATGTAATGCAATATTCGATCTTTCACCGACGTATTTGGTGAATGTTGACATTCTCCGGTGAAAGTCGACATTCTCCAATATCGGTCTTTTACGGTAACATATATACCGATAGAAATAACTTAGACTTCCGCCTTAATTTTGAAGGAGGATACCCTGACATAGGGTTTTACAAACCAGGTGGTCGGGGGCTTCGACCAAGTTTGGTACCCCGGGGACGGTCTGAGGCTCCCCTTTTCCTCTTCCCCTACCATGAACCCTTCGAGAGGGCTTTTTGCTCGCCGTGTATTTTGCACAGACACTATACTTGCAAACAGACTTACAAACATTTATGCTTTATTCGAGATTCGAACCCATCCCTACGGCAGACAGTGTCACTAACCACTATACCGGCTGAGCGGCAATGGAAAGAAAAATTTCAGTCCTTTGTGAGAATTATTCAAAGTACTAATTCCAAAAAATACAGCCTCACCAGCAGTCGGGCAGTTAAGACCACTGAATACTAGTACTTCGATCCGGGTTCGAGCCCACGTGAACGAAATGGCTTCAGGGGTGGTTTTCGTTGTTTTTCCCATGTACAACGTTAATAGGAGACAGTTTACCTTACGGAGTTCTACACGAAACTATCCCTACTCTTAGACAAACCTTACTGACTTAGACAACCCCCTTAGACAAGATTTAACCTTGGTGTGCTTTATTATAATCAAATAATACATCCCAACCTCCAAATTACAGATATTTTATTATAATATGAACTGCGCCTTAAGTGGTTACAAGGACTGAAATGCATAACAGATTTATGGAGTATTTGAATTCCTACCTTATTTACCCAAACTTAAGGAACCTTTTGACATAAATACTAAAATGATATGAAATGGTTAAAATTATGAAAAACTTCACACGAAATTTTGACAGAGAATTTTCCGGACGTGATTTCTAATGTCATTTAAGCGACTTGCGATAATTACAAACTTTCTTTTTATGAGGTGAACTGCTATATTTTCAGAGCTTAAGGCGAAAAGATAATTTATTCAATATTGAAGAGGGAGAAAAAAAGCACATTCTACTAAACTCAATTTAAGTTGAACCATAAGCCGAAAGATCTTTGACTTTTGTGAAAGCGGCGAATATGAGGTGTTGGAATTTTTAATCTCCTAACCTCTCTGGCAGGCCGCGCTTTCGTCCTTGAATTGTTTGTATTAATAGAACTACATCCACCTTCACCTTGCTGCTTCCCATTTGTTTCAGAAATTTTCCCTCGCAGATGGGGAAAATCAAGTTATGAGTTTCCCTAGCAGCAGTTAAAATGGTTTTTGATTCGGTTTCATGAAGATCATCGCGTTACTTTTTTTTTTTTTTTTTTTTTTTCTCCTGGAACAACTTCTCTTCGTTGAGTCATATTTTAGCCTGAAGCTGATTTCTCGATCAAACAGAAGATTATTTATTTTATGTCGATGATTTTTTATAAAAATCAGACAAGAAAAAGAAGATTTAAATTCGAAAAACAAATTCTGAGCATTGTATGAATTGTATTGTTCATGGATTTAATATGAGCCCTTTATTCTACGTCCTTTAAAGCATGCATATCACTGGAATTAAATATTTTAATACTTAGCAATGTTTAAAAATTTTCAATACGGTAACACTATTCAATGATTAAATGCGTAACGTTAAGCTTTTTTCAATTTCAATTACATACCTTGCTGCAAATGGGAAAATTCATAAGCTTCGTAATTCCTATATTAATTTAGCTAATATAAAAATAACGCGGTGGTTTATCTCTTCTTTAACAATATATTACATTGATTAAATATAACGCATTAAAAAAAGTTATACTTAGAGAAGAGAAGGACAAGCGTGAGTTGTCATTAACAGGTCAAATAAAATAATCACTCAACTGAATAACTGCAAAGTCAATTTATCAGATATAATGCAAATCAACTTAAATCCAAAGCAAATACAGTTATTTCAGTGATATCATAAATCTCCAAGCGATAGAAAGACATAAATAAAAACGCTCTAGTATCCTGCCGTAGGTGGCGCTTCTTTTTCTACTGTACCTTCACAATAAGCTACAGGAGGTAGTAGCTGTTTTGAGATGCAAAAAGCGGATTATTTGAAGATTTAACGAAACACATAAAAGATTTATTGAAAACGTTCTTTATTTCTTAAAGAGAGAGAGTTTTTTAAATGTATGAAAAGTAATTTTTTAGTTTATAAAACTTGAAAATAGATTTTTGGATATTATTAGCTGGACCAAAATTTAAAAATTGGAAAGTATTTTATTTCATTTAAAAAATAAATATACATTCTAAAAGATTCAAAAAATAGAAAACTGATATTTCACCTAAATCTTTTTCTTTTATTTTTAAAAACATATTTTGATAAATATTAAAAATTTGATGCACCGCAAGTTACGAAAAATGCCACCACGTCGTTAAAATATTGCTTATACGTAGATTTCAAATGCATGATTTCACACAAAAATTTTCTGATGGCGTTTTTTTCACGGAATGCACATTATGGATTTTTCGTTTACATATAAAATATGGTAGTACATAAATTAAGGAAATAGAATACGAAACTGAAATTTTATTAATTACATACATCCCAATGTTTTTGTCTTAAAATTATGTAAGCAATGTGAAGTAGATAGCTAAAGTTTTATTAATCAGTAATTATTATTACTGTCTAAACCATTTTCACTTTTTTAACGTAATTCTTATAGCTATCATATTAGTAATGCGAAAGAATTATACAATTTTTAAAATGCCTTGTTGAAACTGTATATAATTTTACCAAAATTATTCCGCAAAATTTCTATGTAAATTATAATTTCTCTTTAAAAAATACAACTGATATTTAATGATATATATATATAGCAAGCGAAAAAAAAGCTTCAGATTTTCCAACCAAATTACAAAAGGAATAATTTCATTAGCTATATCTGTATAGTTTAAGTAGGTAATATTTCATTAGCAAATACTTCTAAAAATATTAAGATTTTTAACGTAGTGGTAAAACATCTCACAACAGAAAACATGCATACAAATAAATAAAAGTAATTTTTGATTGCCTACTTTTCATTCCAATTTTCATTTTAAGCTGGTTTTCGAGATTATCTGAAACGAAAGGGCCAAATTTTACTATCATTATGAAAGCAATTAATTATCTTAATTCAAAATTTATCTAAAGGTCTGTTTAGAAGGACAATATAAAGTAAAATACATGAACTTTGAAGCCCATATCAATCAAAACTGTCAGAAATAATAACTCAAAAGGGAGTTCTTAACGGTAATTTATTGCGAATTTGAGAATTTAAGTCTAAATCGACTAATTATAAAAACTGATTAATTCAAAAAGTCATACCGGGTTATTAAGTGTGTTTGTACAATTTTGTGTAATACTGCTTAGCAAAAATTTTATCGCAGTACCTCTTTATTTCATAGAAATAGTTTTGGAACTATAATCGCTCATATAAAACTGAAAATAAGTATAAATAATGCAAATAAAAACAACCGAACAGTAATAAAATAAACAACTGAACAGTAATAAAAAAATAAATTATGTTTTCTGTTTTTATAGCCCAGTTCCTGCCTTAGGGTTACGATTAAATAAATGTGATGAGAAATAAATTTCTGTTAAAAGTAAATAACCAAATGGTAGAACAAAATAATTATTTTTGATAAGAATAAAGAGATTGCAAAGAACACTTTCTGTGTAAAAATGACATTTCACTCAAGTTTAAACTACAATCGGAACAAAAAAAAAATTCCATAAAAACTCTAAAATATTACATTTAAAATATCAATCTGCTTTCAGAAATTAAATTTTAATTCTAAATACCATTAAATAATTTAATGTGAATATAAGTAGTCGACAGAAAGGAATTAAAATCAAAATACAATTTGATGGGGGAATTTTCTATACGTTTTTAAAAATAAATTTTCCTTTGAAAAAACGAGAATTTAGCAAAATACTGTATCGTTGTTCTTGTAATACGTTTTCATGGTCTTTTAAAACAACGATATGGATTCCGATTGAGACTATAATCAAGCACCAATCTTAAAAATATGATTATTGTTTTATTTTGACACATTTTAAAATGAATGCTAGTGAACAAAAAAGTAAAAGAAAAAGCTAATGAAAATGGCACCTCTTATCATTACAATTTCTGAAATAGTTGAAAAAATACGAGAGGGAGATTTTAGACTACCGTGTGATATTTATCTTTAAGGTTTATTTTAATCAGACGGTATAGTAGTTCAAGGAGCCTGTCATACCGAAAGGCCCGGAGAAGGCATGGATGTAAAATTGTTTGTCGCTTTCATAGAAGGTAACGTTGGCTGTCTATTAGGTGCCTCCGCAATAAAATTACCACCACTTCTGGCCTTAGGAGTGGCCAATGCCATTATAGGCAAGTGCCCGCCATTGGGAGGAAAAAAGGTATATTTTAATATTATTAATTTAAAGTAAAGTCGAAAGAACAAACGACAAAGGACCTATGTGGTCAAAAATTTTGCGCATTTGTGCTGCGAAATTTAAAAAAGTTAAAAGAAAAATCCTAGTTCGAACGCTAAAAAGCCGCTGAAATACTGCGGTTCCTTGAAAACTTTAACATAAGCAAAATAAGTAGCAATGAAATATGTTATAAGAGAAAAATACAACATTTGATTATTTAGGTGCTATTATAATTTTTTTTTTTTTTTTTTCAAATGTTTAACTATGCTGTAACACAGTCCTAGGTGTGAGGGGGAGAATCTAGTTCGATCTTTTTGATAATCCAGTTAAAACAGCTTGTCTGCTTGGGAATGGGGTGCAATACCAGCAGAAATGAGGTACAAGATCGGAATGCGGAATATGTGGAATCGATAGCTTATCTCTCGGTACAAGGTCGACACAACAACTTAAAAAACTAGTTTCGATTCTATAACCAATGTCGTCTGTATACTGGTGTCGGGCCTGAGCAATAAACGTATGCCTGTCACGAATTCTGTGTCAAATTAACATACCTGTTGTTATTACATAACTGTCAAAAGTTTTGATCGTTTCTATCGTATACCAGTAACCAGTGTCCGTTGTATACTTACGTTAATTATGCACTGAGTCGAAGCTACAAAGTGTCGATCCTACGAAATATTGATCCTATGCCTCTTCAGTTACAAGGTATTTCTCCCGCTTTCTTATCATGCCTTCGTGGTTTAGTGGTTCTGCACGCTGAGCCGGTATTCCAGAAGTCCGTGGTTCGATCCCGGCGAAGGCGTTGTTAATTCTTCATCTTTCCTGCTTCCAAAAAAAAAAAAAAAAAAAAAAAATGCCTAATGTCTCAACACAGTTTTTGAACAGTGTCGATCTTACGAAGTACTGATCCTATGCATCGGCAGTTTTATGAATACATGCAGTCAGTTTTAATTAAAGATTTAATCCCTTTTTTCACTTTCGTCTGCATTCTTAACTCTTTTGATATAAACTTACATTTGGTAATTTTCTTCACTCCTCCGTTCAAAAAATACTCTTCATCATGACACAATTGCCTTTTCACTTCCAATTTAAAAAGTGTTTTAAGCTTTCATTCTAGACAGGCTATCTTGAGAATATTTTCCCGATCTTTCAAACACTTTACAACCTATTCAAAACTGCAGCAACAACAACATCAACAATGTATTTATTCTCTTCTCTCTGATACTACGATTAAATTTAAACAAAATTCCGCACCCAAGCGCAATTCAGACAGATATTTCAAACTGAACGAACCCAGATCCTGTGTCTATAAAACAAGCATTAACGTTGGCTTGAAGAATATAACTCTTCACTGTTAAGGTTTATTCCGGAGGAACTGTCGGATAAGCGTCATCTTTGATGAAAACTCCATGCCTCACAAGGTAGAAAAAACTATGCGAAATACAAATACTTTATCCCTTCGAAAGCATTAAGTATATTAGAATTTTTTCCATCTTCTCTCCTGCAGTTCGCGAACCGAGAAAAGAAAAGTAACTGAAGCCTATTTATAAAATGCGTTTCATAACGTACGGCTATTGATTGATGGGAAACATGCGTTGTTTTTAGATGGTTTGCTGTAGTTTGTTTTTATAAACATATACATAGGTCCATATACACGTAGTAAAGGATTATTGGATTCTGTCTGCATGGAGCTGAAAATCCTTTACTTACCTTTTTACATTTTTGTTCTTGAAAGAAAAAATAAAAAGTTTTATATTCGATTAAACTTGCGCCTATGTTTGACTGGATTTTTGAGTAATCAGATTCGCAGTTTTTGCTATATTGGCTATTAATTTCGTGATACATTAATTCACGAATTTGCAGTGAAGATCTGGTTTTTGCAATTTTTTTGTCCTGTTTATTTGACATCACTCTTAAGTAATGTACCCCTCGGAATTGTATCTTTAACCGCGACATCTTAATTTCTATGAGCTTCTTTCATCGTCGATGTAAAATCGAATGCAAGATTTCCACTCGGGAAACATGCAAGCTATCCACTAGGGAAGCTTCGAATGCATCCATTAGAATTCGGAGATCCACTCGAAAATAAGAAATTCACCTCAAGATAAAAAAGCATGATTTGTCTTCTATTCTTTCCTAAAACATAAATAAAAAGATTGATAAGATCTTAAATATCTCTCTATTTAGTCTAAAGGGTATTTTCTCCCTCTTTTCTACATGCCTTTGTGGTGTAATTCGTAGGATACTGGATGCATATTCGAGAGGTCCAGGGTTCTACTCCCGAGGGGTCAACGTAGAATTTTCACGTCTCTTGCTTCAAAGAAACCTAATGACTCTACAAGTGGCGCAAGCTCGAACTAAAATGTAGTAAACGATAAATTCGTCACAACCAGGATTTGGCGATTGGGTCCCCTAATCCCCAGTCGCGCTTTAAAAAGGGACGAGTGTATAAGATATTTTCTTCCTCCTTTCCACATGCCTCCGTGGTGTTATTGGAAGCATACTCACGCGTATTCGTGAGGTCTAGGATTCGAGACTCGACGACGGCATTGCATATTTTTCATGTCTCCTGCTTCAAAACAACCCAATAACTTCATAAAGCTCTGTTAAATATTTGTTTATTAAGAAATATGTCTAATTTTCATAAATTTCACCTTTCAAATGGTATGAATTGGATTTTTCTCCCAATTTTAGCTTTAAATGAAGAATATTCTAATATTAGTAAATTAATTACATTCGAAATATTTTTAACAGAAACGAATAACACGGCTTATAGAGATAATTTATTTTTAAAATTACATTAGTACTGCATTATTAAAAATGCAATAAAACTGCACGATTTTGCTTTCTCGCATATTTCCTGGAGACATACTCTTTGATATTACTCCTGTACTTTAATTGCCGAAAATTAAAAACTACCAAATACATAAATATAATACATTTTATAATTTATATTGTAACTAACTATACGAAGACAAAGTGCATGCAACGAATGTCTTAATTATTCAAATTTTTCGCTGTTTATATATAAATTTTTCGCTGTTTATATATAAATTAGCGTCATTGTTCTCACTTACACTGAAGTTTCCTTTATTTTTAGTTACATTTCAAAACTATACCTTCAAACCATTGACACCATACCAAGACTATGAGCTGTTATTTACTGAAACGTGTTTTAGAGTTTTGACATGTATTGGTTCTGAAAGAAATCCGTTTATAATTTGTATATGACAATTCTCTTACATGTATCTCGGAAAATATGATTTTTTTTAATATGATGTAAATGATAAAAAAAATCCTAATAAAATAAAAGCAAAATTAAAAAGTAACATCTTAATGGTTTCGGATTTTAACGGTCGCTCAAATGGGTTTGTTAAGGATGTTAACGCTGTTGCTATCGCAGCTTGCTGATACAATCACCACCCTTTTTCTTTAAATCTTTTTAGCTTTATTATTAAACATGACTTTCTTCGTAATTACGTCTTATACAACTCAAGAGAAAAATTACAAAAAATTTGAAAGGAGTATTTCCCAATGCAGCGTTAAATGTTGGCATACATTTTTCTCAGCTCATCATATTAATGTATTTTTATTTTGTCTTTTTATTATTAATGTTTTGTGTGTTTATTTATTAAATATCATGTTTTTGGCGCTTACGCTA